GCCCTCTCCTCCTCCTCATCCCCTCTTGTGAATGCTGGCACTCTACAGCAGGGATCCCCAATCTCTGAGATCTAATACTTGATGTTCTGAGATTGAGCTGATATAAAAATAGAAATAGAGTACACAATAAATGTAATCTGCTTGACTCATTCTGAAACCATCCCCACCCTCCCCCACCCATGTTGGTAGAAAAATTGTCTTCCACGAAACCAGTACCTGGTGCCAAAAAGGTTGGGGACCGCTGCTCTAGAGAACTTTGACTTGGGCCTCTCCTGCATTTCTCTGTTCTGTGTCCCTGGGCACTTTTATTCAGTCCCACAGTTCCAATTATCATCTCTGGTGTCTCGCCCAAGTCCCTATCTCCAGCTTGGGTCTGTTAATGCAATTGCTCATGAAATATCTGCCTAGAAATTTCATAGGTATCACTATGGAGCTCACCATCTTCCTTAATTTTTGCACCCCTCCTCAAGAAACCTCCGGCTCTCCTTGTGTTCATTTCAAGAAATATTATCCAGTTGTCAAATTAAGCAATGTGGGGGTCATCCTTGATTCATTTATTTTATATATATAAAATTTTTATTTATTTATTTTTGAGTGGGCGAGGTCTTCGTTGCTATGCAGACTTTTCGGTGGTAGGATAGGAGGTGCTCTCCAGTTGTGGTGGGCGGGCTTCTCATCGCGTGGCCCCTCTCGTTGCAGAGCACGGGCTCTAGGGCACTCGGGCTTCAGTAGCTGTGGCGCGTGGGCTCAGCAGTTGCGGCTCCTGGGCTCTAGAGTCAGGCTTATTTGCTGTGCAGCACGTGGGATCTTCCCGGATCAGGGATCAAGCCCGTCCGTGTCTCCTGCATTGGCAGACTGATTCTTTACCACTGAGCCACCAAGGAAGCCCCATTCTTGGTTCTTTAATCCAATCTATAACCAAACTTTTACAACTCTGTCTCCTAAATATAACTCAGCTCTATTTATCTCTGCTTTACTGCCACTTGATCCAGGCTATATCACCTTAAGTCCTCTAAATGACAACATCTGAGTGACTCCCTGCATCTAGCCTCACTACATTCATCTGCCCACATATTCTCTGATGGATCCACAGTCAAGTAAGTGATCTTTTAAAAATGTAAGCTCAATTGTGTCATTTGTTTCTTAAAACCCATTAATGCTAAATGCAATGTGGTGACCTAGATTACATCCTGGAACAGAAAAAGGACATTAGTGGAAAACTCATAAAACCTGAAAAAAGCCTGGAGTTCGGTTAATAGTAATGTACTAATGTTGGTTTCTTAGTTTACTGTGGCTATGTAAGATGTTAACATTAGGGGAGTGGGTGAAGAGGGCACAGGGACCCTCTGCAGTAGCCTTGCAACTCTTCTGTAAATATAAGACTACTCCAAAACAAAGTTAATTTAAAACAAAAACAAAAAGAGTAGCACCAGACTTGTTTACGTTAGAGTCTAAAATCCTTTACATGACCAGCTTTCTCTCTCCAGCCAAACGAAACCTATTATTTAATTCTTCTGGGTGACAAAAGTGCTTCCCAGGTAGCTCAACTGGTAAAGAATCCGCTTGCAATGCAGGAGACCCTGGTTTGATTACTGGGTCGAAAGATCCCCTGAAGAAGGGGTAGGCCACCCACTCCAGTATTTTTGGGCTTTTCAGGTGGCTCCGTGGTAAAGATCTGCCTGCAACGCGGGAGACCTGCGTTTGCTCCCCAGGGTAGGGGAAATCCCCTGGAGGAGGGCATAGCAACCCACTCCAGTATTCTTGCCTGGAGAATCCCCATGGACAGAGGAGCCTGGCGGGCTACAGTCCATGTGGTCACAAAGGGTCAGACACAATAACGACCGCAAGTGACATCACAGCAAGTGACATAAACCTTTTCATTGCCAGTATTCAGTGTCTGGCCCATTAATAAGTGCTTGATAAGTATTTGTTGAAAATTAATGAATATCACATTTTTAAAATCAAAAGATTGACTATGAATTTGGGGATTGGTAGATCTTGGGAACTTGTAAGCTACCTGTGTTAGGTTTTCAGTTGCAGGCAGGACGGCCCAGGTAGCACACCTGTGTGCTATGTTACTTTCCTCAACTCCTCAAATCTCTTTTCCCTTGTTCCTTCCAAACTGCTGTCCTTGAAATCCTGCACCAGCTCCCTTCCAAGCTTGGAGACCAGGTGCCCATTTATCTTAATGGGAGAAAGGAAAGGGCCTTCCTCTACCCACCCTGTCCCTGTCCCACCTCTTACAACCCACCTGTGGACAGTTTAACAGTGGGTTCTAGAAACAACACTGCCTCCTTTCAGGTCTAAGTACTAGAATTATTCCAAGGGCAGGAATTTCAAGCCAGGTAAGAGGAGCCACGTCAGGCTGCCAGATGGTGGGGAAGATAGGCATGAGTGAGCAGGCTTCAGACTAAAGCAAGGTAGAGGGATCAAGTGTTGTAATCACATTCGAGAAAAGGAGTCAAGTGACCCTCATTACACATGAGAGCCCTGTTATAATAATACCCCTATGATTACTTGGACTAGGATTTAACCTGGGACAAATCCTTTTCTTTCATGTGTCTTCTTTTCCACCTCATGTTATATCCTTTCCTCTCCTAAGTAATCATTCTTAAAACTCAATCAGAATATTTTCTCCAGTTTTTCAGAGGAGCAAACTCATTCCCAAGGTCATATGCAGCCAATAATAGGCAGGTCCTTGGCGGCTCAGATGGTAAAGAACCTGCCTACAATGTGGAAGACCCAGGTTTGACCTGGAGAAGGAAATGGCAACCCACTCCAGTGTTCTTGCCTGGAGAATCCCAGGGACGGGGGAGCCTGGTGGGCTGCCGTCTATGGGGTCGAACAGAGTCGGACATGACTGAAGCGACTTAGCAACAGCAGCAGCAGGTTTGATCCCTGGAGATCCCCTGGAGAAGGGAATGGCAACCCACTCCACTATTCTTGCCTGGAGAATCCCATGGACAGAGGAGCCTGTTGGGCTACAGTCCATGGGATTGCAAAGAGTTGGACACAACTGAGTGACTAACACTTTCACTTTCTGCTACTCAAACTTGAGTCTTTCTGCCCTCCTGCAGGCAGCCTAGGGTGATCTGCTCTAAACACCACACAACTCAATGAAGGACATAAACACAGTGGGTCTTACAGAAAGGGAAGCTAGAGTATTGGAACCTTAATCGCAGGCAGGCTCCGCAGGAGGAAACTGGAGGAGGGAGTGGGACCAGAGGCGAAGACTCCTTGGGATCTTTCTTTTCTTATTGTGTTTTGGCGATGATAGAAACTTTATTGCCTAAAATCCATCTGGGAGCAGTGTTGTGAATATTCTTTCCCTCTAGCCCCCAACACCAGTTTCTTTCATGTCTTCCCAAATGATAGACAGAGAATTTAATACATTTAATGCTTTTTCCTTCCATTTACACTATCATAAATTACAAAGTATTGTTCACTTCACAAAATAAAACCATTTCCAAATAATTTTTGACAGTATCAAGAAGTACATAGGCTACAACAAACAAACCTGTACAGCTGGGAGGAACAATGCTATCAGGGACCAAGCAGAACCATCCTGACCCCCAAGTGCCAGCGAACTCCTTTCACACGGCCCTTGGGGATTTCCAGAATGACAACTGCACTGCCTTCTCCCCTTTCAGCTCACTTAACACACAGTAATTCTCTTCTGGTCACTCCAAAACAAGACTGGTGAGTAACAACATGAATCATCTCAGATAATCAGAGGAAAAGACATTGTAGTTAGGTTTAAGAAAAACAAATTTAGGTTTACAGTTTTTTTGACATCTTAAATATTTTACCTATGTTACAAAATATAGAAATCTTGGTGTGGAAAGCTCATGATAAGATAAATAGAACCAATAAGATAGAACTATAGTCATCAAATCATATTAAATTATCCATCAGAGCTACTTTGATCAAGGAGGTACACATATTCATAAAAACCAAACTTATTCATTCTTTAAAAAATAGGCTTGTTTATAAAACAAAAATGAAAAAATCAACAATGACTGCAGGTTCACTTTTCAGAAATACAGACATATGGCGAAAATGCAACTTGCCATTAACAGATGAATTCAGAACGCTTGCCTGAAATGAAGAGGAAAAGTGCTTTTAACGTGGCCTAGATATAACCAGTGTTTCCAAATCATTTTATGTAAAATGACCACGTTCTGCGTGTTCTGTGATGTACACACATGATATGGAAGGACTATGACCAATTCTGAAACATACTTTGGGATTTCACAAAATTTCTATGAAAAGAAAATCTGTAGATGTGACAGACCATCCTACAATTGCTATAAACATACTGCACTGTAGCAAAATGGCAGTGCTTAACAGAAAAAACTATTAAAAGCAGGGACAGAGGTGGGAGGTGAAATTTCACTGCAAAGCACTGATAAGGACAGAGGTATGTCAAGATAATACTGCATTCATGGGAAACTTTTTCAGGGATCACAGCAAGAAGGCAGGACAAGGTATACAGGGTAATAATCAATGCACTGCATTGAGTTCTATTTGCTAAAATAAAGTAACATTCTTGCAGCTAAAATAAAAATACATCTTACAATATAAGTTTCATTTAACATTTAACATATAGAATTGTCTTCTTTTTGTAAGTGGAAAATGTATAACTGTATCAAGTACCTCTATGAATTAAGTTCCCTTTTATTACTGATAAGACAGAAGTTTAAAGGTCTACTTTTAATAAGTTAAAGAAAGATTTATTAATCACTCTTCCAACAAAACAGACAGACATACGAGGCACGGCAAAGACCCGAGGTGAGGACTTTTTCTCGCCCTCATCCTTGCTGTTCTCCCGTGGAGGGGCCAGTGTCTATGAGACACAGTAGCCAACCTGGCAATCCACTGTGGTCCAGGAAATTCCATCACTTGTTTGGAAAACAAATCAAGTGCAAGAGATGTTTTTATTTCTTTAGCCTTATCAACTTAGATGGGGCTGGGGCCACTCAACTCATTAACCTGGTGAATTAAAACAAAACATCTTCGTTTTCTATTAAGATCTGCACAATCAGCTTTTGGTACCGCATGTCATGGAGGGTGGTGAGGGTGCTGTCCTCAGGAGGTCTCATCAGGGTGGGTCCAAACACAATCCCCAGATTTTCAGCATTCATGAAATTGTCCTTTTCATTCATAGTCACCCTGCAAGACAAACATACACAGAGAAACGTTATACAGATTCAAGGGTGGATTTGTGTACTGATTATGAAATAGGCCCCTGAGAGCTTCTCTGGTTTCGGAATTTGCAAAAGAAAATTGAGGACTGGAATTATAGAGAAGTATTTTTTTAAAAGGGAATTTTTGGATTTTCTTGAAGAGATCTCTAGTCTTTCCCATTCTATTGTTTTCCTCTATTTGTTTGCATTGATCACTAAGGAAGGCTTTCTTATCTCTTCTTGGTATTCTTTGGAACTCTGCATGCAGATTCTTATATCTTTCCTTTTCTCCTTTGCCTTTAGCTTCTCTTCTTTTCTCAGTTATTTGTAAGGGCTCCTCATACAACCATTTTGCCTTTTTGCACTTCTTTTTCTTGGGGATGGTCTTGATAACTGCCTGCTGTACAATGTCACGAACCTCCGTCCATAGTTCTTCAGACACTCATTATCATATCTAATCCCTTGAATCTAAAGAAGCAGAAAATATTAAGAAGAGGTGGCAAGAATACACAGAAGAACATATAAAAAAGATCTTCATGACCCAGATAACTATGATGGTGTGATCACTGGACTAGAGCCAGACATCCTGGAATGCAAAGTCAAGTGGACCTTAGAAAGCATCACTATGAACAAAGCTAGTGGAGGTGATGGAATTCCAGTTGAGCTATTTCAGATCTTAAAAGATGATGCTTTTAAAGTGCTGCACTCAATATGCCAGCAAATTTGGAAAACTCAGCAGTTGCCACAGGACTGGAAAAGGTCAGTTTTCATTCCTTGCTCAGTTTGAGCAAGCTCTGGGAGTTGCTGATGGACAGGGAAGCCTGGCATGCTGCAGTCCATGGGGTCACAAGGAGTCAGACAGGACTGAGCAACTGAACTGAACTGAATTTTCAGATTAATTTTTTAGATTATGGACATTGTCTTCAGCCCACAGAAGTGAACTACGAAGTGAATCTGGTATAGACACTTTTGAACACTGTAAAATCAGTCCTTCTTACTAAACAAACATGGAACTCTCATTGAGGGAATATTGGCTTGAAGGGGCAGTAAAGATTATTAGGTGGCCCATAATGCATACAGATTTAGTCTAGACTGTATGACTGTCTTCATTTCCCTCTTCTTGCTGTCCACTGGTCTATATGCTGGAGGCTTGTATAACTATCTTCATTTCCCTCTTGCTGTTCACTGTCTGTATGCTTGTATGACTGTCTTTATCTCCTTCTTGCTTTCTAATGGTCTGTATGCTGGAGGCTTGTATGACTGTCTTCACTTCCCTCATCTTGCTGTCCCCACAGGTCTGTAGGCTGGAGGCTTGTATGATTGTCTTCATTTCCCTCTTCTTGCTGTCAATTGGCTGGCAAACCAGGAAGCTGAGGCCAGATTCCCTGCCTGCTGGCAGGGCTACTGCCTGAGGAGAAAGGTCAAGACATTGTCACGGGACAAGAGAATGCCTGGAATGTGGCCAAATGGGAACGCAGTTAGACATTATTTTTAGTTCCCACAGGATGAGGTCTGGAGCAGTCATTGTTATTGGAATTGAAAACTGTCATCTCATCAATAATCATTAGAGAAATGCAAATAAAAAATACAGTGAGGTATCACCTCACACCAGTCAGAATGGCCTTGATCAAAAAATCTAGAAACAAAAAATGCTGGAGAGGGTGTGGAGAAAAGGGAATCCTCCTACACTATTGATGGGATTGTAAATTGGTACAACCATTGTGTACAACAGTATGTAGGTTCCTTAAAAAACAAATACAGAACTACCATATGACCCAGCAGTCCCACTCTTGGGCATATAGCTGAAGAAAACTCCAATTTGAAAAGATAAATGCATGCCAGTGTTCACTGCAGCACTATTTACAACTGCCAAGACATGGAAGCAACCTAAATATCCATCAGGAGAGGAGTGGATAAAGGAGATGTGGTGCATATACACCATGGAATAGGTGTATATGTTGCCATTCCCTTCTCCAGGGGATCTTGCCAGCCCAGGGACTGAACCTGGGTCTTCTGCCTTGCAGGCAGATTCTTTACCATCTGAACCACTAGGGATCCTAGTGGAACATTACTCAGCTGTAAGAGGGAATGAAATAATGCCACCTGCAGCAGCAAGGACGGACCTAGAGGCTGTCACACTGAGTAAGTCAGACAAAGAAAGACAAATACCATGTGATATCACTTACATACTGAATCTTATAAAAAAGTACAAATGAACTGATTTACAAAACAGGGTCACAGATGTAGAAAACAAAATTTATGGCTACCTGGGGGAAATGGGGGTAGGGAGCGATAAACTGGGAGATTGGGCTTTATATACACATAGTACTATATATAAAACAGATAAACAGACCTACTGTATAGCAGAGGGAAATCTATTCAGCACTCTGTAATGGCCTATATGGGAAAAGAATCTATAAAAGAGTGGATAGCAGAAACTAACAAAACATAAATCAACTATACTCTAATAAAATTATTTTAAAAACACCCAAGTAAGAACTGGAAAGCCTTTAAACATGAAGTTAAAACTCCAAAGTTGGCTTAAAACCTTCCTAAGTAGAATAAAATTATGATCTCTCAGATTCTTGCTTTAAGGAATTAAGGTTTTAGGATGTTCATAATAGATCTAAAAGGGAGTACATTCTTCAAATAAGAGCAAAATTGGATTGACATATGTTTAAGTTTTTTTTACAGAAAGCTATCCCTTTGTGTTTATTCTCTTAAAGCTAATTAAGCTTAGCTGTGCGTGCGTGCATGCCAAGTTGCTTCAGTCATGTCCAACTCTTTGCAACCCCATAGACTATAGCTGTGCAGGCTCCTCTGTCCATGAGATTCTCCAGGCAAGAATACTGGAGTAGGCTGCCATCTTAACTTTGCAATGTGAAGGTAATGAAGCTGAATTGACCTTCCTAAGACTAGCCATCTAGCATTATTTTAGAAAGGTCAACTCAGCTTGCATTACCTTCACATTGCAAAGTTAAGAGGGAGGTAAGAAAGAGGATATTCTTCATTTTCAAACTACTCATAGTTCTCTATCAAGTCAGGCACCACACCTGACCAGACAAGATGGATGGCAACCCCTCCATAGTAAAAATACTAAATAATTGGCACTTAAGACTCAACTGGGATGTGTCAGCATTTTTTTCCTTTGCCTTTCAAAGTATCACAATTGGACACTGAAAGAAATAACATATAGCTAATTAAAAGGCAAATTTTATCCAAATTTTTTATCCAAAATGTACTTGTATTCTTAAATTCAATAAATTAATCAAAATGAGATTCGTCTAAGATAACTGTTACATTTCTGATCACCTTGAATATGAGCAAGAGTATTTATATGTTTTAAAGGTAGAAAAATTAAAGCCTCAATGCATTAGTGTTTCTATAGTTTTATCAACTTGTTTCCTTTCATTTACTGAATCAATCTGTAAATTGGTCAGTATAGATAATTTTTGGTTTATTTTATCTAAAAATGGACTGCTACCATGTATCCCCCCAAAACACAGAGGAAGGCACATGGAAGTACCCTGATCCTGGCAACATCTCAAAGACCAATATATTGACCTCACAAGGACAGTGAAGGGAAGAAATCTGTGGTTTAGGTAAAAGAGTCTGGAACCAGAGACTCCAGTGTACTGTAAACAGCCATCTCTGTCTATCTCACATGCCCTCACACAGATAACCCAGTGTGTAGCCCCTGCGGCAGGCAGCCTCTGAGATGGCCCCCAGGGAGCTCTGTCTCCTGGAATCCATACCCTTCTGTAACTCCTTCCCCGAGAGCAGGGGTCCCTGACCTCCAGGATCTAATAAAAATGCCTGATGATCTGAGGTGGAGCTGATGTAATAATAATAGAAATAAGTGAAAGTGAAAGTTGCCTGGTCATGTCCGACTCTTTGAGACCCTATGGACTATACAGTCCATGGAATTCTCCAGGCCAGAATACTGAAGTGGGTAGCCTTTCCCTTCTCCAGGGGATCTTCCCAACCCAGGGATCAAACCCAAGTCTCCTGCATTGTAGGTGGATTTCTTTACCAGCTGAGCCACAAGGGAAGTCCAAGAATACTGGAGTGGGTAGCCTATATCCCTTCTCCAGTGGATCTTCCTGACCCAGGAATTGAACCGGGCTCTCCTGCATTGCAGGTGGATTCTTTAACAATTGAGCTATCAGAGAAGACCAATAGAAATAAAGTACACAATAAATGTAATCTGCTTAAATCATCCCCAATGCATCCCCCAAACCCTGGTCCATGGAAATTTTGTCTTCGATGAAACTGGTCCCTGATGTCAAAAAGGCTGGTGACTGCTGCCCTAGTAGAGCATAGGCTTGACCTAGTGACTTGCTCCCAACACATAGAGTAATAGCAAGAGTAGTGTAGTGGGGTATGACTTCTGAGATTAGGTTACAGAAAGACTGTCTTCCATTGTGTGTGCCTTGCTTGCTTGCTATAAGAGAAGTCAGCTGCCATGTGGGGAGCTGCCTATGGGAAGATCCATATGACGGGAAACAGGGTTCCTTGTTCTGAGAACAGTCAGCAAGTGACACCTGCAGGCTAGTCACCTCTGAGGAACTGAATCCTGCCAACGACCATGTGAGTGAGCTTGGAAGTGGACGCTTCCCTCCTTGAGCCTTGCAGCCTCACTGTCAGTTTGACTGCAGCCTCATTATTAACCTTGAACCAAAGGCACCCAGCGAAAGCCACCTGGATTCCTGTCCACAGAGACTATGCAATAATAAACATTTACAGTTTCAAGCCACTAGGTTTGGGGGCAATCTGTTAGTCAGTGGGAGGAAATGACAACCCATTCCAGTATTCTTGCCTGGAGAATCCTATGGACAGAGGAGCCTGGTGGGCTGTCCATGTGGTTGCAGAGATTTGGACATGACTGAGCACACACACACGACAGATAATTAATACATCAAATGAAACAAGAGATCAGGGTGGAAATCTGCTTGCCCAGAAAGAAGGCAGCTCAGGAGTCTGGGTTTAGGGTGAGCAAAAGGAGGAAGGACAGAACACAGAGTTCAAGGCATTGTGGGAGGAGGGTGCAGATGCAGGGGCAGCATAGACACATGGGTAAGACAGATTAAGGGCTATGGGTCAAACTGGGTTTCCATCCTGGCTTTACCTCACCTCTCTGCATCAGTTGTGTAATGTCCCTAAGCTTCAGAAGTATTATCTGTAACATGAGGTCCCTAACCGTAACCACCTGAGAGATAGGACACATCTAAAGTGCAGGGAGCAGCTCCTGCTATCTCCTAGACACAGAGTGAGTGTCTAGGGTTATCAATGGCGCAGGCCTGCAGAAGGTAACCTAATTCACTTAAAAGGAGGATCTGTCCACTCAGTGGGTTGGGGAGGTTGTGTACTTTTCCTAATGCATCAACTGTGCAGGGCAGGTAGAGTGTGCGGAGGCGGCGCCAAGGAGGTGTCAGCTTACTTCTTGAGGTGGATCATCAGGTATCGGAGGGTCTCATAGTGGGCAGGAGGAAGCAGCATCAGCACTTCATGGACCGCTTCCAGCCTCTCATCCGCATTGGAGATTTCTGTGAAGATCACACATAATGAATATCAGTGCAGTGCTGAAACATTAAAGTTTTCAGAGAAACTATAAGAAGTTTGGTTTGTTCAGGCTACAGATGAAGGGGATGTCTAATAATATTTCACTTAAAGTGATCCATTTGTTCATGTCTTGTCTTATTTCAGAAAGGGTTTGAGGCTGGGAGCCACATGCGTATTGAATGTCCACTGGCTGCATGCCAGGAGGCTGCCTGTGGTCCTTGCCCTCTAGGAATCTGCAGCCTTGTAGATACTCACTGGTGGCACACGCACAGACTGAGCTTTGCCCATCTTCTGAACACTGGATTTGCTAGAAACTATGACCAACTTTAATTTAAACTGGACCACACTTGGGAGCTTTCTCTTGAAATTGTCTACCAAATCTTTTCTTGGCAGGCGTAACTGGATCCACTTTATAATGCAAGGGCACTGGCAGGTGAGCCAGCCAATTCAGGCTGCACTGTTGGTACTTTTTGGCAAAATGTTGGCATGGTGAACCCCAGGGTGCTGTCCAGGTTAGGAAGTAGATAGTAGGCACATTAACAATGGGAGGAAGCTTGCATGCTTCTGTTTTCAGGACTCTGGTAGGTATTGGCAGCCATTCAAAGAAAGCTCTCCTGGTCATTCCTCCTGGGGTAGAGGGTACCTGCTGTCAGAACCTTCCCCACAAGACCATTGGGATCTTGTGGATCCCTGGAAAGAATGCTCTTACCAGGGAGTATAGCCACAGCTCATCTGGAAAGTACACCCTGCACAACTGTAGTCTGCCCATGTGTCTCCCCATCAGGTATCTTGTTACTATAGTTAGCAACATATACCTTTAAACATTATAGTTTTTAAAAAAACTTCCTCAAAGTGTGCTTGACTTCTGTGTCATGCATTCTAGCCCTGAATCTCCCTTTCCTCACTACAGTCCTGGACAAAGTGTAATGCAACACCCCCTCCCCCCAACCCCCAACACACACACACAGACACACACAGGTCCTCACCTGACGGCACGACCCAAGTGCCAAACCCTGAAGGAGCAGCTCTGGGCTGATGGAAGACTAATGCTCATGTTCCATTTCTGGGCCTGTGTGCTCAGCCCTCTAAGCTTAGTTTACCTCCTCTGTAAAATGGGATTACAATATTTGCCTCATCAGGTAGATGAGAAGGTTAAAAAAGGAGATGTTGGTGAGAGTTCCTAGGATAGTACTTGACACAGTATCTTCTTGGCCTGTTACTGATTTTGAACAGCATCAATGTGCCCTAACTTGGGGTATGACTTTAATCAACAAGCAAGGGTATTCTGCTGAATAGATGAGAGTAGTTAATCTATACAGCCCTCACTGGAGAATATCTGATTGCTTACTAGAAAAGCATTTCACTTTCAACGTATAACAGAGTAAGTCTGCCTGTGCCGGTTGCCAGCATAGAAGAAACAGTGGGGACAGACAGAACTGCCTGGTACCCGGCATCAGCCGAGTAGAACTGGCTTAGTGCTGGTTCCTTCAGCTAGTGTGCTATGTCTGGTTTTCTATTAACTGTACTGTTGTGCCCTCACTTGGCAAAGCAAGCCCTCATGCAATAACTTAATCAGGTTCTGAGTTTTCATTTTCTTGAAGTCAAAAGCATCACACTTAAAAATTTGGTGCTTTAAAAAATTAGTTCTCAATACTTACTTGCTGCTTCTATAAATTTGGAATAGGTATCATAGGTGATGACAGGAATGGGTAAGTCTCTGAAATACAGTTTAAGGGCTCCAGTGATGATGTTTATGTCTGGATAGATGCTGGCAGATATATCTGCCTTTTCACCATCTGAAAAACAATCAACGATCCAATTCCTAATTAGGATCTTATTTCACCAAGTTAAACCGTGCCCAGAAAGAAAAAAAAAAAAAAGATCCAATAATGAATGCTCCCTTACAAGTCTCAGCTGACTCCTCTGGCATCTAGTAACATGGAGATGCAGGAAGTAACAAAAAGAAGTATGGTAAGAGGGATTTTGGGTCTGAGGGTAAGTACAGCCAAAAAAGTAGTGAAATAGACTTAAAATAGTTCTTTGGGTGCCAGCTCTTGGTAATTTGCTAAGTAGAAGTCTAGCACAGTAATTTATATTCTAGACACAAAGCTTATAATAGGATAACAATCTAATTTGAAATTATAAAATCAAGAATCTCATATAGTATTCTTTGGATTTGGATTTAAAGATCACATACATAAAATAAGCTGAATATCTTCAGGTTTTAATGTTTCTTTCAGGCTTACCAAAGTTTCTTTTCACTTGATTATTCCTTTCTTAATCCTAAGACTTTAATCTGGGAAACTTAAACCTTCCCTCATGTGTAGGTAATGTTATAGTTCTTACTATTTTTTTGCAATCTTTCTGAAGACATATTTTGACTTTTGTTTTGACCATTAGTAGATACAGTCCAATTTAACTGTCACAATCTATAAATTTTTTTCAATCATATAGGGACTAATAGCATTATCTTTTATACAGAGAATTGAAAGAACAAATGTCTCAGCAAATTTGGTTGTGAGGATTAAAAAGCTCTTAATGTACAGAAAACAGTAGGAGTGTAGCAGATAAGCCATCTGATCACATTATTTATGTATTTAACAAATAATTACTGAGAATCTACCATGGGCCAGGCACTGTTCAACTCTAGTGAATTAAGAAAAGACATAAATTTGTCCCTCAGTATCCATGGGGGATTGGTTCTAGGAACTCCCCACCGCATGGGTACCAAAATCCATGGATGCTCAGATTCCTTATATAAAATGGCTTAGTATGTACATATAACCTATGTATATTCTCCTGTATACTTTAAATCATCTCTACATTATGTACAATACCTAATACAATGTAAATTCTATGTAAATAACATTAATGCAATGTTCAGTTCAGTTTAGTCGCTCAGTTGTGTCTGACTTTTTGTGACCCCATGAATCGCAGCACGCCAGGCCTCCCTGTCCATCACCAATTCCCAGAGTTTACTCAAACTCATGCCCATTGAGTCGGTGATGCCATCCAGCCATCTCATCCTCTGTTGTCCCCTTTTCCTCCTGCCCCCAATCCCTCCCAGCATCAGAGTCTTTTCCAATGAGTCAACTCTTCGCATGAAGTGGCCAAAGTATTGGAGTTTCAGCTTCAACATCAGACCTTCCAATGAACACCAGGACTGATCTCCTTTAGGATGGACTGGTTGGCTCTCCTTGCAGTCCAAGGGACTCTCAAGAGTCTTCTCCAACACCATAGTTCAAAAGCATCAATTTTTCGGCGCTCAGCTTTCTTCACAGTCCAACTCTCACATCCATACATGACCACTGGAAAAACCATAGCCTTGACCAGATGGACCTTTGTTGGCAAAGTAATGTTTCTGCTTTTTAATATGCTATCTAGGTTGGTCATAACTTTCCTTCCAAGGAGTAAGCGTCTTTTAATTTCATGGCTGTAATCACCATTTTCAGTGGTTTTGGAGCCCCCCCAAAATAAAGTCTGACACTGTTTCCACTGTCTCCCCATCTATTTCCCATGAAGTGATGGGACCAGATGCCATGATCTTAGTTTTCTGAATGTTGAGCTTTAAACCAGCTTTTTCACTCTCCTCTTTCACTTTCATCAAGAGGCTTTTTAGTTCCTCTTCACTTTCTGCCATAAGGGTAGTGTCATCTGCATATCTGAGGTTATTGATATTTCTCCCAGCAATCTTGATTCCAGCTTGTGCTTCTTCCAGCCCAGCGTTTCTCATGATGTACTCTGCATATAAGTTAAATAAGCAGGGTGACAATATACAGCCTCGACGCACTCCTTTTCCTATTTGGAACCAGTCTGTTGTTCCATGTCCAGTTGTGGCATACAGGTTTCTCAAGAGGCAGGTCAGGTGGTCTGGTATTCCCATCTGTTTCAGAGTTTTCCATAGTTTATTGTGATCCACACAGTCAAAGACTTTGGCATAGTCAATAAAGCAGAAATAGATGTTTTTCTGGAACTCTTGCTTTTTCTATGATCCAGCGGATGTTGGCAATTTGATCTCTGGTTCCTCTGCCTTTTCTAAAACCAGCTTGAACATCTGGAAGTTCATGGTTCACGGATTGTTGAAGCCTGGCTTGGAGAATTTTGAGCATTACTTTACTAGCGTGTGAGATGAGTGCAATTGTGCAGTAGTTTGAGCATTCTTTGGCATTGTCTTTCTTAGGGATTGGAATGAAAACTGACCTTTTCCAGTCCTGTGGCCACTGCTGAGTTTTCCAAATTTGCTGGCATATTGAGTGCAACACTTTCACAGCATCATCTTTCAGGATTTGAAATAGTTCAACTGGAATTCCATCACATCCACTAGCTTTGTTCGTAGTGATGCTTTCTAAGGCCCACTTGACTTCACATTCCAGGCTGTCTGGCTCTAGGTGAGTGATCACACCATTGTGATTATCTGGGTCGTGAAAATCTTTTTTGTACAATGCAATGTGAATGCTACATAAATAGTTGCCAGCTTGTGGCAAATTCAAGTGTTGCTTTTTGGAACTTTCTGGAATTAAAAAACATATTTCTGGTCCACAATTGGTTGAATCTACCAATATGGAACCTGCAGATACAGAAGGCCAATGGTACTTTTGTTCAAATAACTCTGGTTAGATTGGAAGTTGGGCATGAAGCTCAACAACTGCAAGGAAATGGGAAGACAGCTCTGCTGGAGAAATGTGGAAATATGGAGCGGGACAGAGGAAAAAGAAATGGAATTCTTAGGTCAGTGTGGGGTGGTCAGGGAAAAGTCATGAGAAGAGAAGACTTATGCTGACATCTGATTGACAAAACAATTAAGTATTTGCCAGGCAGAATTGTGAACACGTTCTAGATGGAGAGAGCAAGGTGACCCCAGGTGCTTGTTCATGAAGAGAAGTGGGAAGTACTTCAGTACTGCTAGGGTACAAAGTCTATAGAGAGGCGGTTGTGGCTATGAGCATGCAGATAGATCATCAAAGACCTCATCTACTACTCTACAGAGCAGAGGACCTATCTAGTGGGCCAGAGTTCCATCTCTGATTGGTTGTACCAGAATTATTTGGATCATTCAAAGGAAATGCAGATTCTTAGGCTCACTCAGCTTCCTGAATGAGTTCCCAGGGTGGACCCTGCTGATCTGTATTTTTAATAAGTTCCCTAGTTAGCTCATGATACCTGACCTAAGCGAGCGTATGGCCTGGAGGACCATATGGCACAGTCATAAAGAAAAAAAGGAGTTACCTCCTAAACTTCCCCTAGTTCAGTGCCAGGGGTACCCCCATCCCTATGCTCTCCTCTTTGGATCCCTGGAAGAAGGAGAAGAGTCCATGGGATCTGAGATGGAGGATGCAGAAGGTGCCATGTGCCATGGTGCCATGTGACAGGTCATAAACGCTGGGCAACAAAGTCAAGAAGCTTAGTGACACCAAAGGCTGCCTGATCACTCAAGTAGTATTTTTAACTCACTTCTCCATGTGGTCAACTGTCCATGACTTTTTAAAAGACACTTTCCCCAGAGAATCAGAGAACTATGGATTACAAAATATTACTTCCTGGCTTCCTAACGAACAGCTCTTAGTAGCTCTAAAACCCCATTTCCATTATGAATAAAACTGGTTCCAAAAGAGAAGATGCTAAGGATAAGTCATTTAGCACTCAATAAAGTGCAAGTCTGAGGCATCCTTGGCTCAGAAGGTAAAGAATCTGCCTGCAATGCAGGAGACCCGGGTTAGGTCCCTGGGTTGGGAAGCTCTCCTGGAGAAGGGAACTGCTACCCACTCCAGTATTCTTGCCTGGAAATCCCATGGAAAGAGGACGGTGATGGGCTACAGTCCATGGGGTCTGTCCATGAACAGCCGGACACAACTGAGCAACTAACACATACATACATGCAGAGGGCAAACCTACCTCTGTCAAAGGCCATTTTGACATCTTCAATGTGTTCTGTGAACCCGGAGACTCTATAAAGGCCTTCTGACTTTAGTCCTATAAAAAAAAAAAAAGAGATAGATTTTAACTGTAGCTTCCTAAAGCACCTAAAAAAGAATGCAATTTCCTATCTACGCTGCATGCTATCAGGAAATGAGCAAATGTAGTCAGTGCTCTTACAGGGAATTCCCTGGTGGCTCGGTGGTAAGGTACCTGCCTGCCAATGCAGGAGACACAGGTTTGATCCCTGGGTCAGGATGATCCCAGGAAGGGGGAAATGGCAACCGACTCCAGTGTTCTTGCCTGGGAAATGCCATGGACAGAGGAGTCTGGCAGGCAACAGTTCATGGGGTTACAAAGAGTCGGATACAACTGAGTGACTAAGAAAGAAATGCACACAAGCACACTCTTATATGTTACACATGACCACATCAGAACTTGAACTTGTCCATCTCAGCTTCCGTGCATCTGTCTTCATTGCTTGTGTGGCAGTGGAGACCTCTGGGTCTGGTCTTCCTCCTGCCTGGCTCTGCAGAGTGAACCCATGATTAAGATTCTCATCAGTCATGATGTCTTGCTTCCTTTGTTCTTCTAACAGTAGATGAGACTTCACTTCAGCAAACTATTTTCTCCCCAGCATCATCTCTATCCATATGCCATACTGCATGTATCACAGTGCTTGGTACACAAGTATGCATATGTGTGGTACATCTTATCCTGATTTCACTAGAACTATCCCAATTTTATAGCCTATGTGTTTATCATAATCATGGCAATATGTTACCAGTTGGCACTGGATCTGCTAAAGCTCTAATACTTTGGCCACCTGAGGCAAAGAGCTGACTCTTTGGAAAAGACTCCAATGCTGGGAAAGATTGAATGCAAAAGCAGAAGAGGGTGGCAGAGGATGAAATGTTTAGATAGCATCACTGACTCAATGAACATAAATTCGAGCAAACTCTGGGAGATAGTGAGGACAGAGGAGCCTGGCCTGTTGAAGTCCATGGGGTCATGAAGAGTTGGACATGACTTAGCAACTGAACAAAAGCAACATTAGGTCTGCATCAGAGACACTCCTCATTGACCTTAGCTTTCTCTCCTACTGAGTCCCACCCAGATTCAGAATTTGTCTCAGACAGTTGTCTAGGGTGCCACTAGTGATCAACTGAATTGGCCCATGAGATGAGACTTGGTTCTAGTTGGTGGTGCATTAAGCATGCCTTGGTCCAGTTGTAACCTGCAACAGAGGTGAGTGCACAGTGGCACTTGGGAGCACAGTGCAGTGGACACTAACCCTGCTTTTTGATAGAAGAGGCTACAGGGAAGGTCTTACTGAGGAACTGCCTTTAAGGAAGTCATGGGACTTCCCTGGCGGTCCAGTGGTTAAGACTCTGCCTTCCAATGCAGGGGGTGTGGGTTCCGTCTCTGGTCAGGGAGCTGAGATCCCACATGCCTCCTGGCCAAAAAACCAGAACATAAAACAGAAGCAATATTGTAACAAAGTCAATAAAGATGATAGAAATGGTCCACAGTAATGATAAATAAATAAATAAGTAGAGGAAGTCATGAGGGATGGGCTGGACTTTGCCAGAGTTAGCAGAGGCTGCCGCCTCCCTTTTGCTGTTAATTCTCCCTTCCCCTGCTATGATGAAACCTTTGGTTTTTTAGAACAACACTCCTTGCAGAGGCCATTAAATCCTGGCCAAGGTGAAGAGAGCAGAAGTGATGTGTACAGTGCTGCCCATGGACTTGAAGGGCATGCCCTGTTGCTCTTGGCTGGAATGCAGATGAAATGGTGATAACCATCTGGGACCATAGACAGGAGGGCAACACTCAGAGATGATGGGGTAACCAGTGGGCGGGCCTGAATTCCTGCCTCTGGGCAGCTACCCCAGCCCTGGACTGCTGCTGGAGATAGAGAGGTTTCCATCTTGTTGATGTCACTATTGTTGGGGTCTCTGTGATAGCATGAAAACATCTGGGTTAAGTACATTGGTCAGACACACAGATTTGGAGGTGGAGTTAAAGGATTGGGTCATACCAGGTAAAAAAGAAAGAACACAGTTGAGTCTTATATGTTGGGCCCTGTACTAGGCTGGTTATCTGGATCAACACCTTATGAGGTACAGGTGATTCTGTTCACTTTGAAGATGAAAGAAAAGAAAGTGAAAGTGTTAGTCACTCAGTTGTGTCTGACTCCTTGAGACCTCATGGACAGTAGCCTGCCAGGCCCCTCTGTCTGTGGAATTCTCCAGGCAAGAATACAGGAGTGAGTTGCCATTCCCTTCTCCAAGGAATCTTCCCAACCCAGGGATCGAACCCAGGTTTCGTGCATTGCAGGAGCCGTCATGGAAGCAGGAATCAATCACCTGATGAGCTGCAACTGATTCTGTTCACTTTGAAGATGAGGAGATAGATATTCAAATGGAGCAAGTAACTTGCCCAAGGTCATACTGTAGCTGATATGAGAGATGGTTGGGAATCTAACTTCAAGTTCATGATCTTTTCACTCTGCCATATTATGCAGAAACAAATGTCCATAAAGGCATCTGGAGAACAGTAAGAAATTGGCTATGGATTGAAGATGGGATAAGATCTTGGCATTGGTGGCAATGAAGCTGGAAATGGAAGTGTCACATGAATTTCTTCCAGCCCATTCTCTGGTTTCTGCTCACATGCATGGGGCCCTCATGCCTGTAGCTCCAGTCCCTTTGCTGTGACTCCTAGCACAAATTCCTAACTTGTGCTATTCTAGCTCTTATACTAGACATGCTTAGTGCTGTGCTTTCTGTGGACACATTAGACATCAGATGTGGTAGTAACTTGTCTCCAGTTGTTAGTAGTCTCTGATGAGGATCACCATGGGATGATCCCAGCTTCTTCAGAGAGGCGCAGGTCCTGATGGTAAGCTCTGGAGAGGCTGATTATCTGACCCTCTGGGGTAGCAGAACCCTTGAAATAGCAGTACCCAGGGCTGCTCTTCCCAGACACTCATCCAGAGTCAGGGCACCCCCTCAACTTGGACCCACCTCAGCCCTGCATCAAGAACTCAACAGATCCCAAAGCCCCTACCCAACTCTAACAGACCCAGCAGGCAAAAGGCAGGAGGCATTTCTTACAATCTGAGATGAAATGACCGAGTCTTAAGGGAACAAATTAGCTATAGTTTTCACCCTGCATGGAAGAGGGAATCATTTCCTATCTCTAAAAGGTTTGGGAAAACAAGTTATAATATCATCTTTTGTTTTGGAAAGAATGGGATAGTTGGCAAATGCATAAATACCTGTAGCATATAGTAAGCCAATTTAGACACAATAATGGTACCAGCTATAGAAGGGTACAGACATGGCAACACTTGTAAAAGCCTTTCCAATTATCCAAATTACATCCAACAATCCAAATTCTCTCCAACCATACTATAACCACCATATCACTGAACATTTTGATACTGAAAAGTGGCCAAACAAAGCTCAAATAAAGGAAAGATGACTCAAGCATAATATAAAGAATCTTTTCTTTGAAATGTTCCCATCTTCCTTGTATTCTCAGTTTTTGGTGGACAGATCTTTCAATCTTTTAGCTTTACTCTTTGAAATAAACAGAACCAATACTAGGAATAAATTTCTATGTGGTAGAAAATACATGTGTTGACCAATAACTTTTAAACTTTTTTTAAAAGAAACATTTTTAAAGACTCGATTTAGACCTCACTTCTGCCATAAACCCTTTCTGAACTCTCCTCAGATAAGATTAAAATGTCTTTCTTTGTGACTCCATGGTGTTTTGAATACACGTACTCACAGCATTTACTTAGCACACATGTATGTATGCACTCATAGATTTATTTATTTGCACCCCTGATTCTGTATATTATGCTATGAATTTCTCAAAGACATGAACTATAACTTTTATGTCCCCATGTGTAGTACATAATGAATGCTTGGCAAGCATGTATTAAATGTATGCATGCATGGTTTTTGTACAAAATAGAAATTGATGTCATTGGTTGGATTTTGTGTGTGTGTGTGTGTGTATGTGTGTGTTTGCGAATGCAGACCATTTCCCTGAGATCAACAGTGGAGAGTCAATTTAACAATTATAAGAATAAAGTCTCCTTGACAACACTAAAAAGAAAGTCACTATAATAAGGAGTTTTTTCCCCAAACCTCTTGCTTCAATTTCCCGAATGCAGATGTCTACCACCATGGGTCTCTGTGTGTTGTGAGCCTTCACAAGTGTTGTGAGGTCACAGCAGTACACCTTCTTGATCCTCTTGAGATCAGGTTGGCAGTCGTTGGGAACGTGCTTGGAACACTGCTTGTGTACGTTCAATCCACAGTCTGTAAAAAGAGAAGCCACATTAGTCTTGCCTGGCCATTTTGTAAAAGTTCAACGCAAATTATATGTTACCAAAAATTAAAAAAGGAAAACACCTCCAGGGCTTGCTGTATCTCTCTGGAATATCCATGCCACTTAGAAGTGATGCTGTCCACAAGATGAGTATGAAATCTCTCTGTACTCATGAAACTAAAATAATTCCATTTTTCTCAATAAGCCTTCTCTTATTGAGAAGAAAAGAGACATCTCACAGAGACAGTTTTGGCAATTAGGTTGTTTGTATGTTTTTTTCCTTTCTGGGACTGGAAACTTTGGGACCGTTTGAGGGCTTTTGGGTTTAGATTCCCAGAGCAAATCATGTCCCATAAAGGGCACCTAGGACTTCTGCTAGGGTGTTTCCCTTGACTTTGTGACACTCCTTTTGTGGAAGACATGATTACCCTGTCTGTGGGAATCTCTCATCTTTGGTCTGAGACCCCTATGACCATTGGCATACTCTTCTGCTTTCTTGGAGAACTGTCCATATTTTCCACTCCTGTCTTCTTTGCTGGGCAGTTTGAGTAGGCCATTTTCCTTTCTACTTGCCTTATTTTGACACCTTTGAGTGGAAATACTGTCTAACTGGACACTGGAGGGAGGACTCAAGAGTTTACAATTTAGAACAATGCCATGTAATGTGATGATGAGAGTAATTATTTATAAAGATCCAAAGCTGAAGCAGTGCTTTTAGTTCAATGCACATATTAAAAGCCTTATTAGCAGTTGGTATCCACTGATGGAATTTCTCTAACAATAACAAGGCACAGTCTACATTCGGGAAAATAATTTAATGCTGAAAATGTTCAAAGTTGACTTGGTGTCTATTCAAAATACCTTCTAATATTGTTTTCATAGGTGTGAAAGTGAAAGTGAAGTCGCTCAGTCATGTCCGACTCTTTGCGACCCTATGGACGGTAGCCCACCACGCTCCTCAGTCCATGGAATTTTCCAGGCAAGAGTACTGGAGTGGGTTGCCACTTCCTTCTCCAGGGGATCTTCCCAACTCAGGGATCGAACCTGGGTCTCCCTCACTGCACGCTGACGCTTCACTGTCTGAGCCACCAGGTAGGTTTCATAGGTGTAAAGCATAATAATAAAATATTTTTTATATTTTATATACATATTATAAACACACGATAATGAATATTATAATGTCACTGTTTTTAAAAAAGCACTTAACCACACCAAGGATTTGAGAGGATATAAACTTTTGCAAAATCATCAATAAATGATTTTTGTCTTTATATGCTTTTCATGTCATGTTTTACTGGGTGAGTTCTCTCTGCCTACCCCTTTCTAAAAACAAAACCACTTCTAATTATCTTAGCTTTATCAACATGAGAAATTTAACAAAGCTCAAGTAAATGTCAATAACATTTGATCTACTGAATATAAATATTGGTGAACTGAACTAAATAGAATTGGCTGGTTTTCTTGTTTGAATAATGACAGCATCTACTCCTAGGGTTATCATGAGGATCAAATAAGTTAATATATGTAAAGTCTGAAGTGTGGGGAGTGCTACGTGAGAGTCAAATAGAAGAAACAGCAAATATGGTAATAGAAAATACAAGGATGCCTGCCTAGCCACTTTTAAGTGATTTCATTAGTCATTTTTACTAACTGTGAATTCTTACAAATTTCATTTAAAACATTTTTTTAAATTATGGTAAAATATACATAAAGTTCACCATTTTAACCATTTAAGTATACAGTTCAGTGGCATTAAGTACCTTCAACCTATGTACAAACATCACTATCTCCAAACCTTTTTTATCTTTCAAAACAGAAACTCTGTACCCATGAAACAATAACTCCTGGGGCCTTCTTCCTTGCGAGCCTGTCAACCATATTTTTCCTTCTGCATCTATCAATCTGACTACTTTAGATATCTCATATAAGTGGAATCATACAGTATTTGTCCTTTCGTGACTGCCTTATTTCACTTAGTACAATGTCCTGAAGGTTCATTCACATTGTAGCTCATGACAGAATTTCCTGAAGAACATTGCATTTAAGGCTGAATACTATTCCACTATACATATGTACCACATTTTGTCTATCTGTTCATTCACTGATGGGTACTTGGGTTGTTTCAACATTTTGGCTATCATGAACAATGTTGTTATCAATGTAGGTGTACAAATATTTGTTCAGTCCTTTCAGTTCTTTTGGGTATATACCCATAAGCAGAACTGCTGGATTATATGATAATTCTATTTTTAATTTCTTTATAAACCTCATTTTAAGGTCTGAAATGACAGTGTTTTTGTGTAGAGTTAAATACTGATATTTTATTAAAATGAAGATGTTTTATAACAAATACAGACATACTCAGTTTTTGCAAACTAATACAATTCTATATGCTATAAAGTCTAGTTAATTTTTAAAACATTTGAAATATGTAAAATATTGAGAGGTAATGATGGATCTACCAAACATTTAATGGTCAGTTTTCAGTTTTCCTGCTGCTCAGAGGAAGTATGAGGTTAAGCTGTGGTCATTGGAGAATAGTAACATTGCCTTAGAATATGTTTTATTAAAAAAAAAAATCCAAGCCCTCTTATCCCAAAGAAAGTTGCTGTTCACAGCTAATCTGAATCCCAGAGTTTTGTTCTCATAATATTGACTTTGGACCAATTTCCTGCTGAAATTGGATAATACAAACAATTAGGGATATTTTTGGTGGGTATAATCTAAACAGGTTGAATTAATGAACACTGAATAAAGCAGATATTTGAACACTTTGCTCAGTGGTTGAGCTGTAAGATACTCTGTAACTCTTGATGACTAAGCTTTTCATGGTAATCGGGGTCTCTGGAACACTTCTGGAGAGTCTGTCTCCAAACTTAAGTTTCCTGCTTGCCTCGTGGATCTGGGATGGGGACAGGTAGAGTAACCGACCTACATGAGCACTCCTGGACCCATCCAGGTACCATCACCAGTGACGGCTGCATCTATGTAGAAGCTGAAATAGACCTTTCCAGGCAGAGGAAGGATTTAAAGTCCCATGATCTTGTGAACTAAAATGGGCAGCATGGGGAAATAGATCATCTTTTTTTATTTTTAAAATTTTTATTGAAGTATAGCTGATTTATAATGTGTTAGTTTCAGGTATATAGCAAAGTGATTCAGATATTTTTTCCAGATTATATATATATATATATATTTTTTTTTTCCAGATTCTTTTCAAAGAGAGGTTATTACAGAATACTGAGTGGGGTTCCCTGTGCTATACAGCAGGTCCTTGTTTATTTTATATATAGAAACGTGTCTATGTTGCTCCCAAAGTCCTGCTTTATCCCTCTCTGCTCCCACCTCTCCTCTAGTAACCATAAGTTTGTTTTCTGTGTCTGTGAGTCTGTTTCTGTTTTGTAAATAAGTTCAAGTGTGGGAAATAGATCATCTTAATGTCGTGTCATTAGCTTATTTTATTTTAAATGCTACACACAAATTGTTTCTTTAAAATCATACTCCACCAAGAAACAAATCAGTTAAGCTGTCAGTGGAAACCCAATCAATATATCACAGGAGGCTGTTCTTGCTCCTAGCCAGAACTGTTTGCCAGAAAAAGCCTGGCGTGATGAATTAGGAAGCCCGGTTACACATTAATTTGGCAATTCTTTTCTGTGTTGTTAGATATATCTTAATAAGATGTGTTGTGTACACTTAGCAATGGGTGTACGCGTCCAGTTCTAGGTGGAAAAACACCTAGGGTTTCAAAATACTTTGAAAATATGTGATATGCAATCAACATGTGTATTTTCACTGCTAATTTGATGGCAGAAAAATACTGGACCGGGGCTCTGGAGTCAAATCAAAGTTCCACCACTTACTATGTGGCCAAGGGCAATGAACAATTATCAATAAGGCTCAGTTACTTCATCTATTTAATGGGGAGAATAATTGCATCTCCCCCAAGGTTTGGGGCTAAAGTTCATGGGGTTGCAAAGAGTTGGACACGACTGAACGGCTGATCACGCACAGTTTGTTGGTAAGGCTAAATGATATGATGAATAGAAAGTGTTAGCTCAGTGCTTGGTATGGGGTAATTGTTCACTTATATTATTATTTTTATGCCCTGCTTTTTGTAGTAAAGCAAGGATGGGAAAGCACTGTGACTTTTCTACCTATGCAATTCCATTGGAATAAAGTTTCTTTTTCTTTAAAGGACAACTACTTATTTTGGGTGGCAGGTAGATGCCTAAGAAACAGACTCGTTTGGATTTTTTTTTTCTTTTCTTGCATAAATGTGAGATATTCCTTCTCATTCTAGCAAACACCTAGAACAGTTTCTCCATTAAGCACAGAGATGCCTTGAGTCTTCCAGAAAGCTAGACTTTTGAGCTAATCTGGGCCTACTTCCCAGCTCTGAAAAGATGTCCTCCATGTAACCATGATGACACTTTATGTAAATGGAAAAGGAGAAAGAAAGTTCCATGTCTACCTGAGCACCGGACCCCTTGGGCAATGAGCCCCCACATGAAGTTGGCACAGTATTCACACCAGTGTGGGCCTCGGAACGTGTGGACCTGTGAGCCAAAATGAAGAAAAGTGTCAGAAAATTCAGTCACTCGGAGGCAGGTGGCCTTGGACATGAATGACACCATGAAACAAATGCCTGTGTGGGAGGAAGCATCCCTAGCTCGACTTTTTCTTTCCAGCGACGACGCTGAGTTGCAAACAGACCTGGAGAAAACAGAGATGCACTTTGATTTCTGAAAATTCTCCACTGAGCCTCATGCCCCAAGCTAGAGCCAAAAAGGAATGTTGAAAAAGGGTAAAATTACAGGGCCATGCCATCAGCTAAGGAACAAGATACTCACTACCCCTAAAAAGCACTACATGGACAAACTGAATTTAGCCTGAGCCGACTGCTATAACCTGCATTTAGCTCAGCAGAACTCAGTTACTGTGGCCTTTTGACCAAAGTTGTCCTATCTAGCGAAGTAGGAAACGGCAACCTACTCCAGTATTCTTGCCTGGAAAATTCCATGGGCAGAGGAATCTGGCAGGCTACAGTCCAGTCCAGAAGATTGCAAAGAGTCAGGAGCAACTTAGCACGCATGCATGCATAGGATAATTACAAGGTTCAAAGGCCTTAAGTCACTTCCAGAAGATGGATGGATGGCATCACTGACTCAATGGGCATGAGTTTGAGCAAACTCCGGGAGTTAGTGAAGGACAGGGAAGAATAGTGTGCTGCAGTTCATGGGGTCACAAAGAGTCAGACACAACAGAGCGACTTAACAACAACAAGAAAAGGCTTTAAAAAAAGGTAGCGGAGACTTCCCTGGTGGTTCAGTGGTTACGATTCTGTGTTTGCAATGCAAGGGACATAGGTTCGATCCCTGGTCAGGGAACTAAGATCTAGCATGCTACGTGGTGTGGCTAGAGCAAAACAAAACAAAGACAGGAGTTGACTCTGAAAATGAAGGCCACCCCGTGTAGCCTCTGAGTGTGTAAGTTGAAAGTTCCTTCTGATTGGCCAGAGTGCCAATCTCGCTGATTTGTGCCCAACTCAGTTGTTAAATATCTTGAAAAAATCATGATGTAAAGATGGTCTTGTTTCTAATTATTTACATACAACCTCCTGTGACAGGACTATGTATTAAGTCATGATTTAAAACAAAAGCAGAACAAAACAAAAATATATGTTCTCTGGCACCAGCAAGCATCAAGAAACAGAGTCAGGGGATGCCTTGAAAGCAAATGCGGTTGTGGTTGAGCCAGAAACCATCCCAGGTAGTCTATCTGGGGGCACATACATCAATGTGAAGAGGTTTGGAATTTTTACAAAATTAAAATATCATGAGACTGGTTTCTATAAGGACTTTCAAAGTTTTCAACCTCCATTAACAAATACAAGACATGCAGACAATATTATTATTTTTTTTAGAAACTGGGAGGCCTATATAGTCAAGATGACAACTACAGCCACAATTTGTGAAGATGCTCATCAGAGCTCTACTTCAGAAAAAAATAGCATCACTTGGAGATCTTCAGTTATTTACATATGCTAGTAATTGGGTGTATATAAAGTGACAAACAGAACAGACTTGGTTCCCTCCTAATGGCACTTAGAGATTTGTCAGGGCAGAGAAAGTTATCAATTAGCCAGTCAAAAAGAGAAACTTCTGACCATGGTTTTATGCAATAAAACTATGTTATAATAGTCTTTTGGTATTGCAGTTTATCACATGCAAACTGCCCCCCATTATACTATTTCTGCTTTGAAACATGATAGGGGAAAAGAAAAACCTCTCAGAATTGTTTTGACTAAAATGGAGAATCGTGCTGCAAGGAAATGACACCAAGATATGACAAAGCAGCCCTTGTTGGAATGCAGAGACTCTATCTGACGGAGCGCATGCATTCTCTTGGAGCCAAAATACATGATTCATAGAGAGGCCCACTCATGTGAAACGTGGTTCTAAAAGAATTCCTCAGGAAAGTGTCCTACTGAAAGCTGAACAGTTTACAAATTAAGCAATCAAAGGCTTCTTAATATTTTAGTAGAGATGCTCTAAAGCACCAGTGCTTTTTGGTACCAGGGACCAGTTTCGTGGAAGACAATTTTTCCACAGACTCACAGGGGATGGTTCCAGGATGATTCAAGTACATTACATTTATTGTGCACTTTATTTCTATTATTATTATGTCAGCTTCACCTCAGATCATCTGGCATTAGATCCTGGAGGTGAGGGACTCCTGCTGGCTAATTAAGGCAACAAAGCTGATTGCTCATACACTGTTGAAATTGCAAGGTTGATAAAATAATATGTAAAATAATATATCTCAGAAAGAAAAGAAAAAAAAGGCATGGAAAAGATTATAAAAGAAAAAATGAGGCTGCTACTAGAGAGATTTAGGAAAGGCCCCCGCATTACCCAAGACAGTCAGGAAGTCCTCTTTTGAAAGGGTGACCTCAAATTGCTTGAAGGAAGAAAAGAAACCAGTTTGATGGGGGCTTTGAAGGGAGCATTTCAGGCAGAAGGAATCTATGGAGGCCCTACTGGAACAAAAAAGCTTGGTGTGACTGAAGAATTAGAAGGTCAGGGTGGCCAGAACACCAGAGTAAAGGGGATAGGAACTGGGATGAGGTTGAAAGTAGGACAGCACCTTGAAGGCTTTATGAATGAGTGTGGATTTGGTTGTGATCAAGTACAACAGGAAGTTCTTGGAGGACTTCAAGTAGGAAGATGATTTTTTAAAAAAAGATGTTCTGACCTCTGTGTTGAAAATGGAAGGGAGAGTATTAATAGTAGAAACGATTCAGCGACTAGGTAGTAGTTTTCAGTTGAGAAACGATAGAGGCCATGACCAGGATGTTGGAGGTAGAGATGGGAAGAGAATGGGTTTCAGATCTATTTTGAAGTTAGAATTTAAAGGACTTGTGTAAATCCATGGCTAATTCATTTCAATGTATGACAAAAACCACTGCAATGTTGTAAAGTAATTAGCCTCCAACTAATAAAAATAAATGGAAAAAAAAAAAGAATTTAAAGGACTTGATTGTAGAATAAACATGGGTCTTTGAAGGAGAGGGAAATCAAGACTGACTCCTAGATTCTCGTTTTAGAAAGCAGGCAGATAGTGATGCCACTTGCTGAGATATGGAAGACATTCTTTTGTGAGAAATTCAAGAATTCAGTTTTGAGCAGTGAAAGGTTAAATGCTGCTGAGATTCCAAGTGACAGAATTAAGCAGGAATTTACAGCGAATTCAATAGCTCACAGGAGGAGAACTGGAGGTCTGCATTTGACCATCCTTGACAAATATATGGTATGTAAAATTGTGTGAATGGGGAAAATAAAACCTCTTAGAGATAGTAGAAAACAAAGAAAATAGAGCCCAATTCCAAGCCCTCGGTGCCCCAGCATTTGGAGAGAACCAAGAGAGTAAAGTGGTTCAGAAGTCAAGAGGTGAAGCATGTTTTAGGGAAGGAGTGGTCAATTCCAGGCTGAATGCAGGAAAGAGGTCCAATTGAGGGCTCAACTGTGACTCAGACACATGGAAGTCATTGGCAACTTTGACAAAAGAAGTCTCTGGATCACTGAGGGCAGAAGTCATTCTTGAGGGAACTGCGACAATAAGTGGGAGGCGTGGAAGGAGAGAAATGTAGAGGCAAATTCATCATGAAGTTTGGCTGTGATGTCCAGCAGAGCAAGGAGACAGCTCCAGGGAGGTAAGGAATGGGCCCTGGGAGGACTTTTTAAAAATAAAAGACGGGAGACATTCAGTTCAGTTCAGTTGTTCAGTCGTGTCCAAAGAGCAACCCCATGGACTGCAGCACACTGGGCTTCCCTGTCCATCACCAACTCCTGGAGCTTATTCAAACTCATGTCCATTCAGTCAGTGATGCCATCCAACCATCTCATCCTCTGTTGTCCCTTTTGCCTTCTGCCTTCAATCTTTCCCATCATCAGGGTCTTTTCAAAAGAGTTCTTTGCCTCAGGCGGCCAAAGTATTTGAGTTTCAGCTTCAGCATCAGTCCTTCCAGTGAATATTCAGGACTGACCTTTAGGATGGACTAGTTAGATCTCCTTGCTGTCCAAGGAACTCTCAAGCATCTTCTCCAACACCATGTTTCAAAAGCATCAATTCTTCAGCACTCAGCTTTCTTTATAGTCCAACTCGCACATTCATACATGACTACTGGAAAAACCATAGCTTTGACTAGATGGACCTTTGTTGGCAAAGTAATGTCTCTGCTTTTTAATATGCTGTCTAGGTTGGTCATAACTTTCCTTCCAAGGAGCAAGCATCTTTTAATTTTATGGCTGCAGTCACCATCTGTAGTGATTTTGGAACCCCCCAAAATAAAGTCTCTCACTGTTTCCATTGTTCCCCATCTATTTGCCATGAAGTGATGGAATCAGATGCAACGATCTTAATTTTCTGACTGTGGAGTTTTAAGCCATCTTTTTCACTCTCCTCTTTCACTTTCATCAAGAGGCTCTTTAGTTCTTCTTCACTTTCTGCCATAAGGGAGGTGTCATCTGCATATCCGAGGCTATTGATATTTCTCCCAGCAATCTTGATTCCAACTTGTGCTTCATCCAGTCCAGCATTTCTCATGATATACTCTGCATATAAGTTAAATAAGCAGGGTGACAAATATATAGCTTTGACATACTCCTTTCCCAATTTGGAACCAGTCTGTTGTTCCATGTTCAGTTCTAACTGTTGCTTCTTGACCTGCATACAGATTTTTCAGGAGGCAGGTGAGGTGGTCTGGTATTCCCAACTCTTTGAAAATTTTCCACAGTTTGTTGTGATCCACACAGTCAAAGGCTTTGGTATAGTTAATAAAGCAGAAGTAGATGTTTTTCTGGAACTCTCTTGCTTTTTTGATGATCCAGTAGATGCCAGCAGTTTGATCTCTGGTTCCTCTGCCTTTTCTAAATCCAGCTTGAACATCTGGAAGTTCACAGTTCACTACTGCTGAAGCCTGGCTTGGAGAATTTTGAACATTACTTTTGCTAGCGTGTGAGATGAGTGCAATTGTGTGGTAATTTGAGCATTCTTT